ATATTTTCAGTAACTGAAAGAGTTTCAGAAATGATGTGGGAATTTTTGCAGTGTAAATCTAATAGACTAGCCTGCTTTTTTTAAGTTTGTTTTTCCAAACAAGTCTCAGCTTCATAACTGGAATGTCCAAAATTCACAGGTGTTTTTCAGGTCTTTGTAGCTTCAGCTACCGCAACAAAAAAAAAGACAAAATCACTTTAAAATATTTTAAAATCATTTTATTTCTCTATATAATTTACAACAATTTGTGTAATCAATACATAGAGGGTCAAAAATAGAACTCCATTTTTGCTTATGGACTGGTTTGGGCTTTTGTTATCAAAAACTAAATCAGACTGCCAGCAGGGGATGCGAGTGCATCATTCTTTATTTTTGTAATATAAAAATGCCCACCTGTTGCTAGTGCCCTGACAGTTTTTCACAAGTGCTGTTGACTGCGGTCTGAAATTGAGGTTAGCTGCATTAAAAAACCAACACTGAGCAGTTGAGGCTTTTCGATAAAGTGAATGTCAAGCATAAGAGGAAGGACATAAAGCAGGAGCTTGGGTAAGTGCTGATGTGCATTTCTGATTCTTCCCTTTCGTTTTTTTTTGTTGTTTGGGTTTTTTTTGGTCTGCCCTGGCTAACATAACATTACCAAAATTACCCAGTACTGCAGTGCACGTCAGTAAATGATTGCCACTGAATTGGTGGCGAACCAATTTCGTGTCCAGTTGTAACTAGCAGCAAATTGCTGCTTTCCCCATTCCAGAAATAGAAATGATTTCCAACAGAATCTGCATGGAGAAGAGTTTGAAAATCAGTTATGATTGTGTTTCTGAAGTGATATTTAACATGTCTGGCTTTGTAAAACGTGCTCTGAGCTCATTCAGCTGTATCCACTGATGACGTGTGTATGGTTTGTTGAGCAGACAAAACCTACGATAAGGGAAGAACTACTGAAATGAAACTATCAAAAACACAGCAAACCACTGACAGGCAGAAAGCTATTAATTTTAACATATTTGTTCGTAGGGGAGAATAGGATCTTTCTGGGGAAAGAATTGTTAGCTGTATCTAATTAAAACTATCAAGGTTTTTTTTATTAGCTGTTTAACAGCCTTTCATGTACGATTAAAATGTGATCAATCTCTCCACACATACAACATGGGAAGACATTCAGCATATTCTCTGGCAATGACTGAGACCAGATTCAGCTTTCTGGATACTGAAAATGAAACAAAACCTGCAAGAGGAAGTGGATAAAGGGGACTGATAGGGCAGAAAAGCAAAAATTCCTCCTGGAGAAAGATACTAGCTTCTGAAAGCCTTGCAACAACTCCTTTACATTACACAACCTCCAAGCCTTTACAGATGACTTCTAGATCATAGAATCATAGGATGCGTTCGGTTGGAAGGATCCTCTAAAGGTCATCTAGTCCAACCCCCCTGCAGTGAGCAGGGACATCTTTAACTAGATCAGGTTGTTCAGAGTCCTGTCAAGCCTCACCTTCAATGTCAATTCTTGGGTTTTTTTCTTTGTTACTGTGCCAGTATCAGTGCCAATAATGCATGAAGATTCTGCTATTGCTAATTAAGGGTAGATCAAATGAAAGTCTAGTCTTTTAAAAGGTTTTTGTCTCCTAGTATTTATCGTCTTAACTGTTATTTAGCTTTTGCAGTGGTTGCAGTTATTTTACTATGAAGATAGGAGCTGTAATACTTGGTTGAAGCCTAAATAATCTTTGGAGCTTCATCTTATAATCTGAAGCAGTAGTTCGGTGAAGATAATTTCCATGCTCGGCTTCTTTGGTTGTTTTGCTTCTACTCCCACACTGTCTTTTACTTTGTGCTGGGACAAACATTTATATAGCTGTGTTGGGGACTCAGCTGGGGAACTGGAACTGCCTGAAAACTAAGCCAAAAAAAAAAAAATTTGGCTGTCTTCAACCAGATCATTTGTCATGTCTGGTTCACTGCAAGGCCACAGAAGAGGCTGTTCCAATACAGGGATGTGGATAAGAAAGCAAGTGTAGAAATTAGTCCTGCTTCTTAAATAAACAAGCTTATACTTATTTATTATTTTTATTGTGTTGCAGTCTCTGACCAGAGTCACAAAGAATTGCAATAGTCATGAAGTAGCTATGAAATTAAATGTTGAAAATGCCTGTACCTGTACTTACATTATGTGAATACAATACCATGAATGCCTCAATCCTTGTCAAAGGTGCATTTTAACAGTTAAATATTTTGCAAGACACATTTTGCATATTTGCAATTTAAGCCGAAACAGTGATTTCTGCACTGGAATTGTTTATATTTCCCTGTTGTGGACTCTCCGCTTAGTTTCTAAAGTCAAGGTTAGACACTGTATGGGTACATACAGCGCTGTGCACGTTGCCGAGATGTAGTGACATTGTTAGAGTGCTGCCTTATCCCCTCATTTCTGTCACTCACATGTATCTCAAAACTTTATAGCCATAGCCAATTTGCACTGACAGGCACTTGACGGTGCTAATGTGGAAAGGCAAATTCATATCTGGTCATGCATTTGTTTAATCACCCACAGAGACAGAGCCTTACATCTGCAGTGAACTTCAAACAACCTTTTTTCTTCCTTAGCAGAGCTCTTGTCGGCTCATGACAGTTTCAGGAGTCTGCAGATCCAGAACTCCTCGCAAGACTGTCACTCAGACTATAAGAACTTTAGAGTGAGTGAGTCTTTGTGTGTCTATGAAGACCATTAAGATAGAAATAGGAGGCCTATAAAATCGTAGAATCATTAAGGTTGGAAAAGACCTGTAATGTCATCAGGTCCAACTGTCAACCCAATGCTATTGTGACCACTAAACTGGGTCCCAAAGTGCCACGTCTACGCATTTTTTGAACGCTTCCGGGGATGGTGACTCCAGCACTTCCCTGGGCAGCCTGTTCCGGTGCTTCACGCTCTTTCAGTAAAGAAATTTTTCCTAATGTCTAATCTAAACCTCCCCTGGCACAACACTAAGGCTATTTCCCCTTGTCTTATCACTTGCCACTAGGGAGAAGAGACCAACATCCACCTCACTACAACCTCCTTTCAGGTAGTTGTAGAGAGCGATGAGGTCTTCTCTCAGCCTCCTCCAGGCTGAACAACCCAAGTTCCCTCAGCTGCTCCTCATAAGACGCATTTCTCTAGACCCCTCACCAGCTTCATTGCTTTTCTCTGGACCTGCTCCAGCACCTCGATGTATTATACTGCCGCACCCAAAACTGAACACAGAACTCACGCTGTGTTCTCACCAGTGCCGAGTACAGGGACACAATCACTTCCCTAAAATGCTGGGTTGTTTTGTCATTGCTGTTGAGCATTACCGTTACAGAGCTGCATGCTTACAAGAGAACCTTAATCGCAGAAACTAGAACCGAAATAGTGACCTGCAGTTTTCCCTAGCTTCTGTGCAACTCTGCTCAACACTAACCTGTCTGTGAGTTTCAAGCTGGAATATGTGGTTGGTTTCTTTCCTTCTGCAAGTTTTCCGCCAAACCTGTGAAGTGTTACTCTTCCTAAGGTTTGCTGTGTCCCATAAACAGCTGTAAGATCACTTGACTCACTGCCTTCCAGTACCGTTCCCCTGCTTTCTGCTTCTGGCTGGAAGGATTGAAGGAACTGTCAGTGCACTGTCTCAAATGTAATCAGTAACAAAAGCTGCCAGAGAAGGCATTTCAGGGAGTCTGAAATTCACCAAAGCATATTTGAGTTATTTGTACTGTAGGTAATGTTTTATTCATTTAGTACTGGCAAAAGGAGATTTTTCAGCTGCTCCTTTTTTATCAGAATAACTGCACACTAGATGAATTACTATTGCATGATTTAAAGTCAGTAAGATTAACTTTGCTTGAAACATTTCCTAAACTACTGCCCAAAGAAGCCAAACAAGAATGCTGCTGTTGGACCAGTGCTTCACACTGCTCAGCTAATCCAGGTAGAAGTCTCTGCGGTACAGTTGGTCTTGCCTGTGGGCTACATGATGCAAAATTGCACATCACTGTAGAGCTCTATGATATGTATTTCAAGTGACAATTATCTGCCTTTCTTGCTGAGAGGTCTTAATGTCAGTCATGCTATTTGCTATGCAGAAGAGGCCCTAAGTAGGGTAGCTTTCAAACCTATGGTCTTGTCATCACCATGTGAAATCTAATAATTTTCCAAGCTTGCTGGTACATGATATCCCCGTGACTGTGCACACGGTTCCATTACTGTAAGATACTGCTTCAATTCTTTAAGGAGATTTTTCTTCTAAACGCGTTGACAGATGTGGTCCATGGCTATTCAATATGCTTTCCAGGATAATAACCATTAGAAATGTGGTCATTGACTACATTAAATCTTACTAAGTATATTTAATATGTTCCATTATCAAGTTCGTATTGGCCAGTGTATGTAACAATTTCAAATAGCAAAATTCTTGGAGAAGGAATGTACCAGCAGCTGGCAGTGATCTCACAAGGCTGTCTTGAGTCCCAGGTCCTGTAGTGTTCAGCTTTTGTTTTCAGCACTGGTGCTTTTAGGCACTATGTCTTTGCACATGGGAGTTTTCTGTGTGATTTTTAATTGCTAGTTCGGTCTCTCTCTTTTAAGTCTTAAAAGTTTTTTGCCCTCTCATATGTGTTTATTTTTATAGTAGCTTACAGAAAAAGAAGGAAGTAATGTATCTGTAATGGACAATGTCAAAGGAAAAACTGAAACTTTCAAAAACTCTTATTAGAACTAATTCCAATTTAAAGAAAATAGATTGTTTTTTAAAATGGTTGGAAATCAAGTATTCTGGTTCACGAGTGAAAAAAGGTATTTTAAGGATATGCATGCGTTTTGAAATCAAAGTGCTTCGAGGTAAGCTGTTATGTGATACAGAATTAGCTAAATTATATTTATGTTGGACAGATTATAATAAAACTTTCTACAAGATATTTTGCTCTTCCCAGCAAAAGACTTTCCTCCAGATTTAACTATTTGGGATTGTATCACAACAGATGTAAGTGGGTAAAACTAGATAATTCAGGAAGCTGTTCTCTTTGATGCACATCTGCCACATGTTCAGTAGGCTTGACTTTCCTAAAAGTAGCTTGTTAGTATAGGGATTTATATATTGCTGGATATTAATCTCCTCTGTAAGAACTCTAGATCAAGCATGTACCAATATAAATAATTTTCTACAATGGCACAGTTTTCCTGAATGAATTGAACTAAGCACTACAGTGTAAATCACAAAAGGACAACTTACCATCTTGTTCATTGTCATTACTCCCACAAATCATGCTGTTCATCACACGCAGGACTAAACATGCTCCAGATTTGCAAAGAGAAGACCCAAGAGCTGGAGCCCTTTGAAATTTCTTCCTAATCTGTACCTCAAAGGCTGTATCACCTCTGTTAGGTCAATTCTTCCTTTAGTTTGGTTTGTGACTCCAGTTTTTGTTACCCTTTCAATAGCTTTTTTAAATAATATTCCATTGCTTTCTTCCTTGCATCTTTTCCTACTTGGGAGGGATCCTTTATAAACACCCATAAAGCTCCTTTACCTTCATCACTCAGATTCCTCCGTAAAACTCTCGTTGCTCTAATGGCTTATAAGAAGTGCCAGTGACTTGCTGCCAACGTGCTGTGACTGGCAGGCAGCATGTCAAGAAAGTATTCTTCAGTAATTAGTGCCTGCCTCACTGCTTGTTTGAGCACATCTGTAGCTTCTTGCCTTATGCTTGGATTGTAAACTGCTAGGAGGAAGCACCTTCTTGTAGTTCTATGGATGTGCAGTATCTAGGAAAAGAGAGTGCTAAACTAGGGAACTAAACCTCGCCACACACACACTGTGTTGTAATTAAAGTAGGGGGTAATAACAATCAAGAAGCTCAAGATCTGCCTAACATGCATGCTATTGTTTAAAAATATTGGAGTTGCTATACAGTTTTAGTTGTGATGGATTTTATTTGGGATAAATAAGTAAAGCAGAGAATGTGAATTTAACCAAAAGATCTTTTATTGAATGGCATTTTTTATTTTCAGTGATATGAAAAAAACATTAACAAAGCTGGAAATCAGAATTTTGGAAATTTTGAATTTGCTTCTGTAACAAAATAGTGTTGTCTCACTGAAACTGGCACTTAATAAAGCACTTTTTGCATTGTTGAAGCCAGTAGGCAGCTGAATCTTGGTTGGGATAGCGTGCTTTCCTCTATGTCTATGTCTGAAAATACTGTGTATCTCTAAGGCTGAATAAATTCAGTATGCAGATATGTTTCCTTGGAAACAACTCGTAATTTTAAAGCACATGCAGCAGTGCAGCCCTTATGTAATTTTTTAATGTGAAAGACCTGGCTCTCGTGAGCCTTATTAAATAGATCAGCCTGAGTTGTCAGGAAAAAGGAATTTGCTTTGATTACAAACGCAGCTTTTCAAGTGCTCTTAGATACTGAGATACTCCTGAGTGGAGCTGATACTACTGCTATTTTGCCAAGTTGCATTGCCCATTGGGTGAAACAGTTCGTACACTTTCTTTCTGAAGGGTATGAATAGTCAGGACATCCTGCCTGTTGTAACAACTACCGTCTTTATTGCTGCTACAGTGCCACAATTTAGAAAAGGTTATCTTGCTCTTCCTTTTTAAGATGCCACATTCCAGGGAACAGAAGCCCTGGTTTGAGTTTAAATAAAGGAAAATTCTCTATTCAGATCCTTCTCAGGGCACTATTTCAGCTATGTCCTCGTTTGTATTGCAATACCATGAATCATACTCGCAGATCTATATTTTAGACTCATAAAAACTTAAAGTATCTCTATTTCAAAGCAGTCTCCAGGATGGACTGTAAAAGCAAGTGGTT